TACGAGGGACTTACTACCCCTTTGTCGGTTCGCTCTTGCTTGATCGGCATCACCTTTTATTTCTGCACTGCATTCTATGGCATCTGGGTTATTCAACCCGTTCATCAGAGTTGGGGATTTTCTCATCCCCGCACTCGTGACCGTCCCGGATTTTCTCATCCCTTTTGTCGAATTTTCTCAAAGTCCCGCTGGATTACCCAAAACTAACATGGGTGGATTACCCAAAACTCAGATTTTAGACTAGGGCTAAAACGTGGGTAGATTACCCAAAACTAACCCTAATTGATGATAATTACAATTTATTTGAAAATAAAAAATAAAAAAATAGGGTACAAAATTATTGATTTGCCCCCCCCCTAACAATTGGAGAAATTCCAAAACAGTCACTGCTGAGAACCAAGGACATTCTTGATTCTTCTCGAACGATCCATTGACGATCCAGCATCTGAATGAACAAAAGATGATTGTCATCGTGTAGGGCTCGATGCGACAATCATTTTGATAATAATTTTAAGCCATGAATCACACTTTAAAGTGATCACATAACTTGAAATTTGAATAGATCTTGAAAACTTTTGATTGATAGTGCATCCTTATCTTGATGTTTTTCTTCGATTTCTTTGCTGAATTGCACTGCACATGTTACCATGATCGTGTTGCAACAAACGGGACGCGATTTGGTTCCCGAACGAAGATTTGAGGATCTTGAACTTTTGGCCGGAATTTGGATTCCGGCTGTCGAAATTAGCAGTGACTTCGACTTGATCTTGTACAAAATCCGACCGATCATCACGCACGGGGTTCGAACCAGTCATAGCCACGGACCTTACGCACGAGATGCAACTGGTCTCACGTCGATCGGGCTCACGGGCATTGTGATTTGGCCGCTCGAGTGACCGTAGGTACTTTTAGAAACTTCTCTCTAGCTTTTCTCCCTGCTCCGACATCGTCACGAGACGTGTCGCATATCAAACGCTCATTTCGACAAGATGAACACGCTCCAACAAGTTTGAGCGCGATCCGATCTCGGACCAGGGAGATATAAACATTGCAAGTTAATTGTTCGTGACTGTGCTTTAATGGACTTTATTTGCAGGGTGGCCGTACGGGAATAGTGTGCGGCTCCTCCTGCTTCGGTCTTTTACCCATAACTTCTTCTTGGAGTGTCTGCTTAAGCTGAAATTTGAGCCCTGTTTTCAACACTGCCGGATGCAATAGAGGTGGTCCTACGACCATTTGATGCTCCGAAAGTAGGGTTCCAGTTATAGAGGTCTATTTCATGGTGTTAAAGGCTGATTCTGTCGAAATGTTTCTTCGTCTGCACTGCCTTAGACATATCGGAATGCGACGAAACTTGGCAGAAAGCTTTTTGGAGTCCTTATGAAGATCTTGACCAGTTCTGGGGTCAGACTATCGAAAGTTCCACTATTTGTCAAGCTTTATTGACCGGTTTTTCTCTTTTATTCCGCATCGGGCACCCATGGTGCATATAACCCCAATAATACCAACTCCATCTATCTAGGACCATTGAGGCTCTTTAGACGCTTCTCAAGCCTCTTCCCATCACCTCATAAGCTACTTCAATGGAACAGAGTTGAAATACAGTGCCTCAAACACATCATCAGGACCTCCATTACTAATGTTGCACCCAAATAACAGGCAGTCCAATTCCAGATGACTTTAGTATCCTCTGTCCTTGTTCAACCAGAACTAAGTTGTGGCACCCTCCCACTACAACGAAATTTTCCCTGGCCTTTATTTCTATCAAACATCTGTGACAGTTAATTCCTCATTAGTTGGCATGCCAAGTCCAATTGCAACACAGAGTCGGACCGCAAGGATGGACAGTTTGCTCTGCTAACCCTCTATGCTAGGAGGGAAGGCTCCTCGGTTCTACACATGTTCAAACCCATATATGATGTCCTTCCTTTTGGGTTTAAAACTTTCTTGTAATTATTTCAACTCAATTAAACGAAATGAGCAAAGCCATTAGACATGATTTAGGAGGAGAGTACATTTGCATGACTAAAAGAGTATCCTTTCAAATCAGGGTATACACAAACACTAATATCTAAACTATGCAACGGAAAGTCTTCAGAGCTATCCTTTGATAATTTCCTAAGGGGTGCACCAAATGTTCAGCTAGGGCGGGGCATATCACCGGAATCTGTTTTAACTATATTAATACCCATATTGATGTATTTTTTCCTCTCATCACTTTTCACTTGTCACAATTGTGTAATGAAGGCTGTACACATTATCTTGAGAATCAAGAAACTTGACTCCAAAGGGAAAACAGAAGAAAAAGGATGATTGAAAAAAACAATGATAAAAAAAGGATGACAAATAGGGACTATAGCGGAAATTGAGAAGGGGTAGAAAACAAAAATGGACAGAAACCTTGTTGTGTGCATCAAATAAAGGGCTACAATTATGGATCCTTTCTTGCCACAAAGGCTACCAAATATGTCAGGGCTAGCTCTTCGACAAATGTAGCATCGGGAGTTTCTAATAGGACACCCGTGCGATTTCAGAATTAAGGCGTTTGTGTTGATGGCAGTCTTATGCAACACCTGCGTTTGCCCTAGTGTCATGTATCAACCCATATCTACACTTTAACACATGCTGACACATCCAAGACATAGGGAAGACATGCAATCTATACAAGTCCACATGTTGCAGCACTGACATGGGAGTTAACAATTTGGTAAGAAGTTTCGACTAGTGTGACATGCTTATCATGCATGATTTTAGTTAAAACAAAAAAGCTCCAGTGGAACTTGAAATGCAAAATCTTCATTTGGGCTTGAGCACTCCATGTGTCCAAGCATCCTTATTACTTAAGAAGCAACATTTTTTAAAGTTGGACAGGGTGAACTAGCACGTTTTATGTAGTTTACAATTTTTCTTTTTCTTGACCGGCTAAAACACTTACAAAGGTCCAAAGATTACAAAATAACCTCAAATAAACATAGAAGAAACACAAATTACGATTCTCACTTGCTGCCACTTAATACAACTCTTTTATTGCATAAAGAAAATTACATAAACAATGACTTGGGAACAAAAAACACAAACTCCAGTAACAAAACTTTAAGTGTCAAAAGATTACCTCACTTGGACTTGATACACCCCACTAGGGTCTCCTCCTCCAATGGCGCACAAGATCAAGGTCTTTCTTAGATCTCACAACTATGGGTAGCATAGGCTAGAAACCCTTCAAACTATGAGAGCTTGTGGAACAAAACTATATCTCAACCTATGTCTAAGGGGCATGCCCCTGTAGGCTCACAATGTGGTTGGGGCGTGTCCCCTCTTTCTTTCAAAATATTTTCTAACTGTGATAGAGAGGCTAGAGAGATCAGAGACAGAGGGTGGCATGCCACCTTTAAGAGAGAGAGAGGTGTGATGGTGTAGAGATTTCAGCCCCGCACATGAGATTATATATAGACTTGTGGTTAGGGTTAGAGTTTCTGGGGTTACCATCCTTATGGAGATTTGATCTAGACTATTGATCACAGGAGACCAGTGGGATGAGATATCTTAGCGTTACAATCCATAGATCAGCAATTTTGATCTAATGGAAAGAGCAAGAACCTTATTCTTCAACTTCCTTAGCCTAATCCCATCAAATATTTAATACATGTAAAATATATTTCTATTTCCTTTTATGTCTATTCATTCTCTACACATGCCTCTATGAAAAGTCAAAATATCTTTCATTACAAAACTTCCTTTTCAATTGATTGAGTGCCAATCTTGCATGCCACAAAATAAGAAAGAAGGTGCACTATGAGAGGCGTGCCACCCATGGGGCTCTAGTGAGCCCACGCACCTCCGCACATGTTCGAAATTAGTGGGCCCATGGAGAATAATGGGGCCCCATGTGTTTTAGAAATTATAAAATAGAACTAATAAAAAGACTTTTAGAAAACATTTACTATTTTGTTTTTCTCTCGAAATAATTAAATATCTGAAAATTCAGTTTAAGCCTATTTATAAAATTGTTTTGAGAAAATAAAATATATAGAGACTGCTAAAAATTTATTTTACTGATTTAAAAATGATTTCTAATCAAATTACCTATTTTTTAATTAATTCTTCTCAGTTGTGCTTGATGTCCAGGTATCTGAGGGTTTTAGTACTCAACTGGCTTAGCTCGTCAAGCCAAATTTGAGTCTCGGCATCAATATTGCCAACTTCGGTCCCTCTGAATCATACTCTCACTGGAGTTCATTGTTCCACGATAATAAAATTGGTTACATGCTTATAAGGCCTCTAAATGGCCACAAACACCCAACAGTTTTATCATCAATAAGGTAAGAAATGCATCTTCCTAAAAATTAGTGCATAAATGAATAAAGACTTTTAAGTTCTTCTCAATCAAGAAATATTTATGTTTTTGGTTTTCATGTTTTTGTTTCATATTTTAATAATTTTCTTACTATTATAAAAATTTTCTGTAAAACGTTATACTGTTGTGTCAGGTTGTAAAGAACTTTTGGATCGATATATTAGAAATCCGAGATACTAGACACCAGTAGTTGTACCAGAGTAAATGACACATTGGCCTACAATAATTGATATTAAGTACTTGCAAATGCAAAACAGTTGCAGGCATGCAGATAACAATACATCAATCTTGCATACATGCATAACTCACAGTAAAAAGGAATGATCAACACTCGGACATTGATATACCTCTATGTGCACAAGCCACAATCATTGTAACCACAATTACACCACTATTTTTTTCAGTTTGATGTGCTTTGACATTTTCTTATCCAGAATCAACATAAATTTCGCTTACGAAAGAACATGTCATAAAAATAGCATGGAAATCCTAATCTCTCCCAAGAGAGTCAGAGATGGTACAATTATAAGGTGCAACTGCCATTCAAACCTTCACTTGCTCAAGTGACACAAATACGATGTAAATGCCAAACGAAAACTAGCACTAAATATCTAAAAAATATCCCAAAACGAGTAACCAAACTAGCCTGTTGTTCTAATTGACGGTTTCGTTCTTCTAGTCTCCGTACAGTAGCCTGTTGATTTCTTAAATGAGCAGCTTCAGTCCTGAACTCCTCAAGCTCATGCTTCATCTTGCGATTCTCTGCTTCCAGTTCAGATAACTTCGAATCTTGCTCCTGCATTAACCAAAATCAATGAACGACTGAGCAAGTACACACATTCAAACATCCTATAAATAACAATCAAAACCAAAATATTATTGACATTATCATCAGACACTTCAAGCAAAACGAGAAAATGAATCTAGACATCAGAATTTCCGAAGTAATTTTGAAATGTGGAACGAAAAGCAGACATAATTAAATTCCTTTAAAAATGCATAGACATGTAATGAAGGGCACAAAAGCAGGAAAAATGATGTCTGGTCTGGTGAAGAGATTAGCAAATACAATTAAATAATATTTTGAGGGTCAAAAGCATTAAATACAAAGAAGAGACAGTATGTCCATGCCAAATAAAAAATTACGAAGTATATGAGAGCCACAAATACTTTGAAAAGAAAATCATAAGTTAATCACAACATAAGCCTCAAGAAATTAAAGGGAAAGTATACAAGATTCTTATGACCATTGAAAATTTTTGGTCTTAAGGTTTCTCAACCTCAATGCATGGATGGCGACGGAGAGAGGGCAGGACCCACTAGATTATGTCATGACCTAAATTGTAGGTCCCAATCTCTTTCCACTGCCATCAATTCATTAATTCGACAGTGATGACACTTATCAGCCATAGATTTCCTATCTATTGTGGATCAAAGGACACTTTTCCCTTATAGTCAAACATCAACATCTTAAATTAGATAGGTAGTATGTACTCACTGAAATCGAAGCAAGAGCAGGAAAAGGATCTGGAGCCTCAAAGAGCTTCTGGTAGATATTAAGAAAGGCATTTTCTCCAAACTTTGCTCGTTTTGTAAGATTATCAACTTCTTCTTGATAGCCCTTCAACAAAGAATTGAACAGACTTAACTTTTCATCAGCGGAAGCTTTTTTGAAATCTGTCAACAGAAAAGTATGAGGATTTACATCATCGCAAACATTGCACCAAATTCTAAATCGGCACATAGTCAAAAGGTATGCATTTTCTCAAATGGAAAGATAAGGAGATAACAAATTTAGAAGATGACCAACAAAGCTAATCAACTCGAAGGAAAGATACATTTTACTAAGCCAGTAAGCTGCAAGTCTAACCTCGAGTGCTCTCAGCGAGTTTTCGTCTGTTTTTCTGGCTGGTTTCCTGATTTTCCGCTATCTTCAGCCCTTGTTCATCCAACCCACTCCTTTCCTTCTCTAGATCGAAGTCTGCAAAAAGACAGTTATTCCCAAACAAATCCAAGGAATCAATAAGATTCGGAAAGAGTTTGGGACTTCGGGTTTTCTTTTATGTTATTAATACAGGTTTCAAAATACAGGACAACTTTAAGAGCTTCTAAAAATGAATGCATTCTTCATGCATCAAATAAGCCATACTAAAGAAGAGAAATTATTTGACAAAGAAAGAAGATAAGAAATCCAACATAATGCATAATGCACTCTTTATCGTGCCACTTGAAATATAATGATGAAAATTGAAGCTTGATCCAGTGAAAACCTAATTGCAACAAGGGCTAGTAAATTTCCCTAATAAATGGAGCAAATTTTCCTATTTCCAATCATCCGTGTGTAGTTTCCCCAAAATCTCTTCCCCTTAAATTTGCAACCTTACACAATGATTCACAAATCAATAAGGACATACATAGGGTGTCAAATTGCCCTTATGAACTTAAACCCTCAACCAAATTTGGGGTCTAGGGTACCAAGACTGGAGACACACCTCCAAGTCAAACCATATGTAGAGAGGTGGGTTTTCCTCATAGCATGCTTATCATCCTATGCCGAACCAAAGTCAAACTACATACATGTCAAGCCCATTTTACAGCTACGGCGTAGTGTTTGCACATTAGGTAAAAAGATGTTTTAACATATTTAAAATTAGTGCTAGTATTGGTTAATGCTCTTTTGAGAGATATGAAGGATGGAGCGCTAACTAGTGCACGAAAAACTAGTAGAGAGACGAGTGAATTTTCAATGACAATAGGTCTACATCAAGAGTCAGTATTGAGCCCATACCTGTCTGTCTTGGTTATGGACAACTTAACTAGGAACCTATAGGACAAGGTATCGTGGTGCACGTTGTTCGCAGATGACATAGTTCTGATCGATGAGACCCGAAACAGCGTCAACACAAAGTTTGAACTTTGGAGGCATGCTCTAGAATCCAAATGTTTTAAACTTAGCCGGACTAAAACATAGTATATGGAATGCAAATTTAGTACCAATAGAGTAGCGACGAAGAAGTAGTTAAGATTGACGACCAGGACATACAAAAAAGACTGCACTTTCGATATCTTAGGTCGATAATCCAAGAAAATAGAGAGATTGAGGAAGTGTTGCATACAGAATTAGAGCTGGGTCGGCGAAGCGGAGATGTGCAACTCGAATTTTGTGCGATCGCTACATTCAAATGAAGCTGAAGGGCAAGTTCTATAGGACAACGATGGGACCAGCTTTGCTCTATGAGGCGGAATGTTGGGCAGACATAAAACAATATACCCATAGAATGAGTGTAGCAGAGATGAAGATGTTGAGATGGATCATAGATGAGTGTCATGACAACAAGGATAGAATTCAAAATGAATCCATTTGAGAGAATTTAGGTGTGGCACCAATAGGCGACAAGATGAGCGAGAGTAGACTTAGGTGGGCTGACTAAAGGTGGCACCGACCAAGTACAGCACGTGTTAGGAGGTGCAAGTTAGTTCAAATGGAAGGACTGAAAAGGGCAAGGGGTAGGTCCAAAAAGATGTGGTTGGAAGTAGTCCGAAAAGATATGGGGACTTATGGACTCATTGAGGATATGGCCTTTAATATAGCAGAATGGCAGACCATGATTCGTGTAGCCGACCCCAATTAATTGAGAAAGGGCTATGATGATGACGATGATGATTGGTTAATGCTCTTATAAACCAGCCAAAGGAAAGGCCTTATCCCAAAATAGAGTGAGCTGACCAAAACACTCACTCTTATGTGCTTCAAAATGAAAAAACTAGACTTTGGGGTTACTTGAAGTAAATGGTCTATACGAACACGCCCTCAGCCTCTTCACACTACTACACAAAGACCCAGTGTAGAAAATAACAAAGAGCCACAATTGAGCTCAAACAGTCCGACCGAAAGCCACCCAAGGAGGAGAGAGTCAAAGAGTATTAGAACTGCAAGACTAAGATCCCAGTTTTTTACTACCAAACAAACAGCCTTTTGAGGCCACACATCCCCTCTTTGAGCTCAGGCTCATAGCAAATTCTCATCAAACACCTAATTCAACTCCTTGCCAAAATGTCATCATATCAACACCCTACCCCCTTGGCCAAACAAATTGGCGAACAATACTCCCAAAAAAACCATCACTGAGTTCCTTATCATTCCAACCATCTAATCTTGACAAAAACCCTACCCCAAGATCTCAACTGATAAAGAAACATAGTCCCTACAGGAAAGCCAGTCCCTCGTCTTAATCAACAAGGTCAACCAGCATACATTGTATCTCTCATAGTTTGCAAATCGGGACCTAAACAAAGACTCGCAAATTGGGACCTAAACAAAGACTTAATTAATTACGTTACCAAGTTGGATCAACCTAAGACTTTGTGAATTGACTAGATGGCTCAAATATAGTTTTTCAAAGTTTTGTGAACCAAACTAACTCTCGAAGCAAGAATGCTGCTCGAGTTACCAACTAAACAGTATTTTAAAAAGTGGACTGCCTAGCGCCTAGCGCCTAGGCACCTGGGCGGCCGCCAAGGCAGTCCAGAGGCCTGGGCACATTGCCCAGGCCTAGGCGGATATCCCTGAATGCGGGCGCCTGGGAACCCGCCTAGGCAGCGGCGGCCCAAGGCCTGCGCCCCGCCCAGGGGCAAAAATGTGACTCCTTGAGGGTATTTTTGGGTCATTTGTTTGATACTATAGGGGTAAAGTTGCGGGTTTCAGGTTCATTTGAAACCTAAAACTCATTAGAGTCTATTTTAGAGAGAGAAAACCCAAAAAAAAAAAAATGTACTAGACCGTCAGGGCGCCCCACCTAGGCGCTAGGCGGCTTGGAACCCCCCTGACCGCCTAGGTGCCGCTTAGCACTTTTTGAAACACTGGAACTAAGGCAAGAAAGTTCCCATCTTCAAAAAGGGAAGAGGTCTCTTGCAGCATATTTTTCTTTACTTTGTAGTATGTGGGAGGAGTTGGACCAGCCTATAAGGCAGATGGAGAAATAGAAAAAGTTTTTGGAACAAAATCCAACTTTTGAGTTTTTAGCAAGATTGAACCCAAATTTCAAATAAGCAAGCGTCTGATACTCAGTAGGGATACTCTTTCATGCTTAACAAGGTGTACTGCTTTGTCTAAGGTGAGAAAAGTCAAAAAAACGTGCCATGCTTTCAAGTCAAGCACTTGATCGATCTGCCCTTGGTTCAGCCTCATTAACTGCTAGAAACAATAAGGGGTGTGGAACTAAGAAATTCGAAAAAGGGGGAAATAATCAAGGAGATAAAAGTTAGCTAAAGTGCGCCCATTATGGTAGAAATGGTCAGCTAAAGAAACTTGTTGGAACCTGGTTGGTCGCCAGCTAAATTTAACCGTCCATGTCGATCTAATGTTCACAACACTCATCCACGAGGAGTGCAGCTACTGCATGTACAGATCAGCTAACACAAACTGCAATCAAATCTTCAATTTCTACTACAAAAGACATGGTACCAGTCCCTAACGAGAAGATTGAAAGTCTTCAATGATTGTTTGCACAGTTAGATGGCCCACCCACAACCTCTACTTTATCCTTTGCACACTTAGTACTCATGCTTCTGCTAATCATGTCTCCCTTGCCCCATCTAGACAATCCTACATTATTGATTCAAGAACATCAGATCACATGCTTGGTATGTCATCCTTGTTTTCTTCCTATTCTCTTTCTTCTGGTAGAGATAAACTTGATTGTTGATGGTTTTTTACTTTTTCCTCTAGCACTGGAAAAAGAACTGTCGATATTTCTCCTCAAATGGCATTACCATAAGCTTTTCATGTTCTTTGCTACAAAACTTAATGTCTACCAGTAACATTACAAAAAATTCTAAATTGTAGTTCGTCCTTCTTTCCTTCCCAATGTGTTTTTCAGGTTCTAGATACGAAGAAGGCCATTAGCGGTGGCCATGAAGCTGGTGGTCTCTGCATCCTAGACTCAACAACAACTCACTCTCAAGCCCTACAGTCCAGTTCCAATGTTAATAAAGATCGGATTTGGCAGTGGCATCTCCACCTTGGTCATTAGTCTTTTCAGTCCTTCAAAAGTTTTACTTCCTAAGTAGTTTATCTCTACTAGTACATCTGAGCTTCAATGTATGGTCGGCGAGCTTTTAAAACATTGTAGAAACTCTTGCTTACCAAGCAATAAGAAATCAAGGTCCCTTTTACTATTGTTCATTCTGATATTTGAGGCCCTCCTCCTATTACATCTTGATTTGGCTATTGATATTTTGTTTCTTTGTGGATGATTACTCTCAATGTACCTAAATCTACCCCATGGAAGCCAAATATGAGGTTCCAAATATCTTTAAGGTCTTTAAGAAGATGATTCTCACTCAATTTGATACTAGAATTATGGTACTTCGATCATATTAAAGTAGGAACAACTGTAATGGAGAATTACAATCCTATTTGGATGAGCATGGAATAACATATCAAAATTCTTGCATTTATACACCACAACAAAGTGGTGTCGCCAAAAGAAAGAATGGACATCATTTAGAAGTGAGTCGTGCTCTCCTATTGAGTATGAATGTACACAAAAAATTATAGTCCAAAGTTGTGCTCATTGCATCTTATTAATTTGATGCCATCTAGTGTTTTAGACTATAAGTCCCCATATCAACTTCTCTGTCCTAATCGTCCATTGGTCAATGTATCAAGGTGTAAAGAGGCCAAGTCCAAGATAATATAAATTAAATCTTTTACTTGAAAATGACTTAATACATGTCATAATCTGAAATTACAACAGTACTTAGACTAGTATAACACCAAAAATATCAATTACATACACCCATAAACATTACAAAGATATATTCATCAATACAAGAGCGAGAGCACGCTACGCATCACTCACAGATAAGAGCCGCTATCACCCCTATTCTCTCTTAAGCTTGCCCCCCTGCCGAAAAGCCATATCGTGCGAGTATGCACGTCTATCACGTTTTTCAGCTTGACTTTACTTTATGAATCAATCAGGTCTGTTCATTGTTCTCAATGTTGTAAAGGACCGAGTAAAGTTGACCCGGCCAAAGCACTGGTTTATTCACAACCATTTATTCCTGCATCCTTGCCTGTCCTTGCTTCCCTTCGCCCTAGGTTGGCATATGTTAGCCCTAGTCCCATGGGAAATGTACTTTGACGGTGCCTCCCGAATGAATGCCAAATTGTCCTCACTACCAAAATGCCCATCATCATCACTATCATCCAAGCTTAACCCAACTACTTGGGATTGGCAACACAAGTCCTATTTCGACATTCTGTTATTTCAAAGGCCATACCCTCAGTCAGACCATGGGTCACTATATCTCTTCTCACTATTAATATTTGTCCTTTTGGGCCTTCTCCGTGCCCTTTTAAAGCCTTCCACTTAAACCAAATTGCTCCTCCTAACCTGTGTTGTTCTAGGTTGACGCTACACATGGTCAGCCCAACTAAATGTACTTTCTCTTATCTTATCGCCTTTTCAAGTCTACCAAAATGCCCATTCCATTTTAAAAACTATGTGAGACAAGGGCACATAAAAGTGGCGTGTGCCCCTCATGGAGTTTCTCTCTCAATTTAAAAACATGGCTTCTTTCTCTCATGATCACGAGTCATATCATAAGCCCATATGGCATCTCATACACATCACTAATCAAAGAACCACCTTAGAAAAGTTAACATGCAAGGTTTCTCAATGGATCATGATTCCTTAAAATGCAAGTCACTCCATGTGGGTATTACACATGCGTGCAAAGGGTGCACATGTGTCCAAAAAGAATTACTTAAATTCTATAAAACAACAAGACCAATTCCAACAAGTTCCATCCCATGCCACATGTCCCCCTTGAGCGTGGGGCGCATTGGCCACTTGGGCATCACGTGGTTGTCCTTGATAGTCCTTGATTAGAATTTCTCCAAAACAATTTAGAAGACCCTGATTTTGGACTAGAAGAGTTCCAAAAATACCAAAATTCATCAAAAGTTATTCTCGATAATTTATCACTATTTTCCACTTTGTAGAAACCGATAAGAAAAATTTAGAAGGAGATTAGGATCTCCAAGGAAATTATTTATTGTCAATATGAGCACTCCACTTGGCTAGTTCCGAGACCTAGAGTCATTTTCTCAAAATTGACCAACACGACCCATCACCTGCAGTATATGACAAGGGCCTATGCTTGGCTCAAAGTAAGTCCAATAGATGGACATGTCCCAGAATTATAGTGGATTACAAGTGGAGCCCCAAAGACCTGCACCATTGGGATGCAGGGGTGTACTTTATCTAGCACATGTGCATCTCTCCCTAGTGGATCGAACTCTTTGAGAGTGGGTTCTGGTTTGCTGTTGTTCACGCACATGTTGTGAGAAGGCTCATTGTTAGGGATAGGGTTCATGTCCTCTCGAAGCCTACCATCCTCATAGAGGGCTTTGCTCGTAAATGCACAAAAAAGAAACGTTGTGATCCACGTACAGGAATGCTCATAAAAAATAAATACTCATGCCCTTGCTTACACGTTCACAAAGCATTCTCATACCGACCCTGCCTTAAGGACAACACTCAACCTTATGTTTATTGCCTATAAAAGTCAAGCCTCGTGATCAGGAGTTTTGTGACTCTATATCGCCAACACCGGATCCATCTTGCATAGATCCGGTGCGTCACACATTCTTGCTCACTGTCACTATGACCAAAAACCAAAAGAACATATTGGTGTCAAGGCCTTGAACGGCTATAACCCCAACACAATGTTCCCCCTTAAAGCCTTTGGTTTTGCTTGCTTTGCTCATAGTCTAGGTTTGTATTGTATTAATTTGGATCCAAAATCTATAAAATGTATTTTGCTTTGTTATCCATAGTCACAAAAGGGTTTCAAATGTTATGATTCAGTGTCATGGAAGAAATCTATCTCAATGGATATAACCTTTTTTGAGTTGACTACCTTCTTTCCCAGTGTGGAAGAGAGGCCCTCTGCTCCACTTCTTATCCATATTGTTTTTGATTGTGGAACCCAGGACGACAGTGGAGGGCACTCTCATGATGTTGAAAAGAAATAATTAAAAGTCCATACTTAATAGAAATAGAAGGCAGTGGAGACAATCATAGCAGACAAACCTTCATGCCAATTGTATACCTCTTATCTGGGTAAATGTTTTCAGAACCCTATATGATTATTTAAATATACTTATTGTTGCACGCAAAGATAGACGAAGGGGCACTGCACATCCAATTAACAACTTTGTTTCCTAAAAATCTTTGACTATTTCCTATGGTGCTTTTGTGTCCTCTATATCTTTTGTTTCAATTCCATCTAGTACTACAAAACTTTAGCTCATCCCCAAGTGGAAAGTGGCAATGTGCGAGGAGATAATGTTATTAATGAAGAATTGTACTTGGGAGCAAGTAGACCCTCCTAAAGGGAAGAAGTTAGTTGGTTGTAAATGGGTTTACACCGTGAGACACAAGGTTAATGCTATAATTGACAGGTACAAGGCACAATAAGCTGCTAAGGGGTTCAAACATATGAAATAGACTATCAGGAGACATTTGATCATCTGGCTACGATGAACTCCATTTGGTCTTTTTGTCTCTGGCAGCTAACATGGAGTTGTCGTTACATCAACTAGATTATAATTCGGGAATCAAGCTATAGCACTATGATTCTTTTTGGTCTAAGAAGGTGAAAACATAGCTCTCATTAGGTTCATTTCCACTGGATTATCATTCGGGAATCAAGTTAATTAGGAAAACCCCTTCATCGCCTTTCATCGGTTTCTAAGAATAGGTTTCCATCAATAATTTCAAATGTTGCACTCGTAAGCCAAACCCCAATTCCCCTCATCAGTCTACGATGACCTCCTATCCTATCCATCAGGAACACTAACTAGACGTGCTAGCAATCAATCAAAAAAAAAAGGTGCAAGGCAGCATCGAGTTCGTGAGAGGGTCCTCATGTCAAGCCTATCTGAGCAAATGGCTACAATTCTAGGTGGTGGAAAATAAGACCATTAATGATTTATACATGTAAATGTATATGTTTTGAAAAAAGCCTTCTTAGAAAATCAATTAGCACTCAAGAGCATTCTCTAGATCAAGTCCCTTCCAAGCCTTGAACCCTAACAAATGCCCCATTACAACACTTTTGTTGATGAAGTCAACAAAACCCTACTCTTATCTTCACAGGCATATATAATTCAATAGAGCCCTGCAAAGATCAAAATGGATCCTATGACTCCTATCTCCCCCACTATGAGGTATAAGTCTCCATATGTATGCTTTATCATGAGTGCATCTTGAAGTACGATTATCTGGCTTTTAATAAAATTGTTAACGACCAAAAATTTAAAAAAAAATCCACAAGTAATTAATTTTGTCATTTGTGTAGCCCTAAACCCACTTCATATTCACAATATGTTCACCACAACAAGCAAAAATAGCAACTTACTAAGTGGGACTCTCTTGCTCTTCATGGTCACTCACGTAATGCAATGACTCTACACAACCCACACGTTCAGTCATCCAAGAAAGTCAACATTCTACTCTTCATTTTACTAAACTGAACTCTAGGAAAGCAGTCATGTAATTTGCAAGATTAGGATTTCAAATTTTAGTCTCGTAAGCACCAAATGGCAAAGATAAAACAATATACAATTTTTATTTATTGGTGGTCTAAATGTATATAGAAAGATAGAGATGTAATGAGGACCTTTGTAGATAATTATATCACAAAAGGTCTATCTCACCCCTTATAAATATCATTTTCCATATTAACACAGCGGGTAGGGTACCAGCACAAAACCCTGCATGCATAGAGAGAGAAAAAAAAAGTAAAGATAAACAACAGATAAGATCATTCATACAACTACTGTGGCATGACAATCACAGAGTAAAAAGGCATTTAGATCATCTGTATTACATTCTCATGAATTCCACATATCCAATATAGTGCCATAACAGATCATAATTGAAATGCACAACAGATCATCATGGTTATCAATGCAGATGCACCAGTAAGTTCACCCTTACAACATAAATTATAACATTTTCTCAACTACTAGTTGGTTATCTAAAGGACACCAGCGACCCACCGTTGGTCATCCCTCATTGATACCAAAAGCAAGTTCCAATCTGAGAGTGCATTAATAGCACCGTATTCAGGGTGTAAATTGCTTCTCTTTTTTCTCTTCAATTAGTACCGGGTAATAAAGCTGAGAACTGAAATTTCAAAATCAGATCAGAGTAGTAAAATCTTCGATATTTGACCAAGACTCTTCAAGGGACTAAGTCACATACTCTCAGCATAAATACTTTCATGATTAGCAAGCAGGATGCAAACCAAACACATGATCCCATTTACAATTGATGAATCAATCGTGTAGCGGTTTGACAAAAGCTCTGAAACACAATTTAAAAAAATAAAAAAACCAAAAGACTAGGCAGCAACCCGTTCAAAAAACAGCAGGAATAGCATTGGCAGGCCCTCCAAGGGTAATATATATATATATATATGAGAAGCGAAAGGCCGACAAACCTCTCCAGAAGTTCACAACGGCAGCCATAGGAGATGAAGACGTAAGGGCTGATAAGGCCATGCCCCTCTCCTTATCTCCTCCTCCTCCTTCAATGGCTTCGTCGTGCTGGTCCATGCTGAGACGATCAGGATCCGAACCAGTACCACCGATCTTCCCCGTATCCACAGCAAAATAATTTAAAGGGCAATACAATCAGAGAGATTGGTACTGGTTCCTAGGATCTTGTGTATGTATATACAATCAAAGCGGGGCTTTTTTGAGATAAACACAGCATTACTTCTGAATTTCATTTGTCCGTCAGACCGCCATATTTATATGGCAGTTAAACTGATGAAAAACTCGGTGCCCGTATCGAGTTCCACCTTCTTTTATTTTAGGGAAAATTACAAAATCCTATCTAAGCAACTTACCCCCACCCCAGTTTTTTATCCCACTTTTTTTTTACTCGAACAACCTTTGCTCGCGAGTCCCCCATTATAAAAAAAATTAAATTTTTGGACAAAAATGCCATTCTCATACGAACCAAATCAATTCACCATCCCAAATAAAGTAGTGTCGGAGCGCAGCATACTGCTGTCAGAGCATAATGTCAAGAAGCACTGCCGAAGCACAATGCTACATTGCTGGAGTGAACTGCCGAAGTGCATATTTTCAGTGCCGGAGCGCATTCTCAGATTGTTGGAGGGAACTGCTGGAGCTTACAGTATCACTGCCGGAGCGCAGTTCTCAATATACCGGAGCGATGCGGGTGAGACAAAGTACTGCCGGAGCCCACATTGTGACTGTCGGAGAGCTCATTAGGACTGCCGGAGCATAGTCCTCCATTGCCATAGAGCCGAAGGCCGTGTGAAAAGAAACAAGAGAGAGAAAGTCGTGTGAAAAGAAACGAGGGTATTTTAGTCTTATTTTGTGTTACTTTTGGGTTGGGGGGTTTTTACGAGAAAAGGTTTTTTGAGGGAAAAAAGTGTGAGGAAAAATTGGGGTGGGGGTAAGATACGTAGATAGTTCATTTTAGGGTGTATTTTGCAATTTTCTTTTCCTTTTTTGGGATTTATTTTTATTTTTTTGGATAAGTTAGTAGGGGAGAAGCCCCTGCCCGATTTTTTTTGGCTTTATTTTTATGACATTGAAGGGGTGCACATTTGTTTGGAACGGTGGTTTAAAAAACAAATCGGTGCTTCAGATCGGGTACCCCAAAAACCCATCCAGATCAATAAATCGATGATTCCGATCAAGAATCAATCAAATTGGCTAGATTAAGACTTAAAAAAAATCAAAAAAAATATTAAAATTCATTGTAAATGTTGGTTTTTAGGAATCTAATAAGAAATGAGGGTACTACATGATTAACTTTCATTTTTTTTACCAATTTGGGAATATTGAGATGTTTTTTCCCTATATGAACTTATGTTAGCCATTAAATTTACATCATACAAAAGAAAAATCATAGAATTATCATGAGTGAAGTATATAATCATACATAGACTACAATAAAGAATGGATTAAATCGATTAAAAAATGGCCACTAAAATCTCGAATTGGTGGAAAA